AGAAAGTGAGGAAGAAGGAAGAGGACGAGGGAGAGGGGGAGGGACAGGATAGTGGAAAAATAGAAGAAGAGGAATGGGCAATTGGAAAAAAGGAAGGACAGCGGTTAGAATATAGGAGATTGCAGTTCAAAGGGATTAAGGATCTTAACGCCGCCGTCAAGTCCTATGGTCCTAACGCCCCGTTACCCTCTCAGCTCTTGAATCTATGTCCCGCGGAGGATATCTCTTGCCGGCAGAATGGCTTCGTGTAGTACAGGCAGTCCTTTCAAGGGGGCAGTTCTTGACATGGAAAGCAGATTTCTTCGACCGCTGCCAATCCATGGCTACAGCCAACCAAAAATCCCCTGGCTCCCCCGCTTTAAAGTGGACTTATGAAAGTTGAGTGGTCAAGGGAAATACGCAGAGGAGGCCAAACAACGCTGCCTCCCAATAGGCCTCTTGGCGCAAACCGCCAATGCTGCATTCGCGGCTTGGCGTGCCTTGCCCACTTCTGGATCCCCCCTTGCTCCGCTTAATAAGATCGTACAAGGAACTCAGGAAGATTTCTCTGAGTATGTTAGTAGGCTCTTGGAAGCAACTGAACGAACCTTAGGGCAAGAAGCGTCTAATGATCAGCTTGTGAGACGCTTAGCATATGAAAATGCTAACAATGCCTGTCGGTCTGCCTTACGCGGGAAGTGGAGAGATAAAACATTAGAGGAAATGATACGTATGTGCAGAGATGTAGATCCCTTCACTACCAAAATGTCCCAGGCCGTACATCTGGCCATAGGGGCAGCTCTCCAAACCGGGGACTCCCAAAAGGCATGCTTCCGGTGTGGTCAACCTGGCCATTTTGCCCGACAGTGCCCTAGTGCCCCTGACACTCCCTCCGCTCCAATCAGCAATAAGGCTTCCCAACCCTCCACCCTCTGCCCTCGGTGTAGGAAAGGGAAACACTGGGCAAATACCTGCCGCTCAACTACAGACGTTCATGGCCACCCTTTACAGGGAAACGGTCGGAGGGGCCAGCCCCGGGCCCCCCAGTCGACTCCCTTTGCTCGGGCCTCGGGGATCAGCCTGTCCACACCCCACTCTTCAGAGCCACTGCAGGAAGCGCAGGGGTGGACTTGTGTGCCGCCTCCACCTCAGTATTGACCCCGAGGGTGGCGTCCATATTATTCCTACAGGCATCTTTGGCCCCCGCCCCCTGACTTCTATTTTTTCATCCTTGGTCGCGCCTCCGCTACTATTAATGGCCTCATGATTCACCCCTCCATTGTGGATAGTGATTACACGGGGGAAATTCAGATACTTGCCTCAACCCTGAAAGGGCCCCTCACTGTCCGTCAGGGACAACGCCTTGCGCAGGCTCTCCCGCTCCCCCTACAGACTCCATACCCTGCTCTCGCCACTGTTAGAGGCCACTCCAAGCCTGGTTCCTCAGACATCTATTGGGTCCAGGCCATTTCCCAAGACCGCCCCATGCTTACGCTTTTTATTCAAGGCAGGCTTTTTGAAGGAATATTAGATTCAGGAGCTGACTCGACTGTTATTCAAAAGACAGTTGGCCATCTTCGTGGCCCCTTCAACCATCCATGACACACTTGCAGGGCATAGGTCAATCCCACAATACCTACAGAGCTCTCAATGGCTGCCTTGGCAAGACAAAGAAGGAAATAAAGGGACTGTTCGGCCTTTTGTGATCCCCGGCTTACCTGTCAACTTATGGGGAAGGGACATTCTTTCACAGATGGGGGTAATTATGTGCAGCCCAAATACCGTTGTGACCCGTCAAATGCTCTCCCAGGGATTTCTCCCAGGGCAAGGATTAGGCAAGAAAGGTCAAGGGCAACTGTCCCCATTGTTGCTGAAGGGAGAAAAGGACGAGCAGGCCTTGGTTGTGAGAGCCCAGATAATCAGAACCATTTTTCGTGAGGGCACGGGTCCTCCTGCACTCCAGGCAGATAGGATCTCGTGGAGAAATGACCTACCCGTCTGGGTAGACCAGTGGCCCTTACCCAAGAAAAAACTGGAGGCAGCGCTTGCTTTAGTGCAGGAGCAACTAGCTGCAGGTCACATAGAACCATCTACATCCCCGTGGAACACGCCCATTTTTGTTATCCAAAAAAGATCAGGTAAATGGCGACTCTTACATGATTTACGGGCCGTCAATAAAACTATGATTCCTATGGGGGCCCTTCAACCTGGGCTCCCCTCCCCTGTAGCCATACCGCAAGATTTTTCTAAGATTACAATTGATCTTAAGGATTGCTTCTTTTCCATTCCCCTCCACCCTTCCGATTGTCAGCGCTTCGCTTTTAGTGTTCCTATTACCAATTGTGTGGGCCCTTCTCCGCGCTTTCAGTGGAAAGTTTTGCCACAAGGCATGGCTAATAGCCCTACGCTGTGCCAAAAATATGTTGCCCAAACAATTGATCCTTTCCGCTTGCAGTATCCCAAGCTTTATATTATCCATTATATGGACGATATCCTCCTTGCAGGACCAAATAATGAGGAATTGACTCAGGTATCACAGGAGCTCATTAAGGCGTTGGAATATCGGGGCCTTAATATTTCCCCTGATAAAGTGCAAACCTGCCCCCCCCAGCTGTTCTTGGGATTTGAACTCTTGACGAATCGCATTCTCTCCCAGAAGGTTCGCCTACGAGTGAGTCACCTTTGCTCCCTTAATGATTTCCAAAAATTACTGGGAGAATTGAATTGGCTTCGGCCATATCTTAAGATCACTACAGGGGAACTGCGACCCTTGTTTGATATTCTTAAAGGAGACTCCGATCCAAATTCACCCCGCTCTCTCACGCCGGAGGCCCGTAAGGCCCTTGCCTTAATTGAGCAAGCCATTCATGAACAACATATTGGCTATTACGCTCCTCAAAAACCTCTTTGGTTCTTAATTTTTTCCACCACTTTTTCCCCACTGGATTGTTATGGCAGGACATCCGTTATTCTGGATTCATATGCCAGCCACACCTACAAAGATCCTTTCTTCCTACCCGCATTTAACGGCAGGGCTCCTGCGCCTCGGCCGAGAGGCAGCCCTTCGACTTTTTGGTCGAGAACCAGATCATATTGTTTGCCCCTACACTGCTTCGCAGATTCAATGGCTGCTTCAGAATGATGATGATTGGGCAGTTAATTGCATTTCCTATATGGGAGCTATAGACAATCATTATCCCTCAGATAAGCTCATTCAGTTCTTTCAGAAAACACCCGTGGTCTTCCCAAGGATCACCAAAGCGGAGCCCATAGAGAGCGCCCATTTGGCGTTCACTGATGGCTCCGCCACAGGGAAGGCAGCCTTTAGTGTTGATGGACAGGTCACCTCTTTTGACACCCCTTTCACCTCCGCGCAGCTGGTAGAGCTCGCAGCGGTCATTAAGGTTTTTGAATCTGTCTCGGGCCCCCTCAATGTTTATACTGATAGTTCCTATATTGCACAGTCAGTCCCTCTATTGGAAACCGTCCCGTATATCCGTCCCTCCACTAATGCGTCTCCTCTTTTTGCCACTCTTCAGCTTCTAATTCTCTCCCGCGATCACCCCTTTTTCATTGGTCATATTCGTGCCCATTCCGACCTCCCCGGTCCTCTTTCTGAAGGGAATGATCAGGTTGATCAAGTAACTCGTCGCATTCTGCTTGCTCTGTCTGCCTCCCCTGTTGAGGCTGCCACACAAGCCCACAAGCTGCATCACCTGAATGCCCATACGCTTCGTCTCAAGTTCCCTATAACCCGGGAACAAGCCAGACAGATTGTGAAACAGTGCCCTGGTTGCCTGACCCTCCTTCCTGAACCTCATAATGGCATCAATCCCCGAGGTCTTATCCCCGGGGAACTTTGGCAAATGGATGTCACTCACTATCCCCCTTTTGGTCGGCTTAAATATGTTCATGTGTCCATTGATACCTTCAGTGGCTTCATTTTTGCCACCCTGCAACCTGGAGAGGCCACCAAACATGTCATTAATCACCTCCTTAGTGCCTTGGCGGTCCTCCCGCAGCCCAAAATTCTTAAGACAGATAATGGCCCTGGTTATACCAGTTCTTCTTTCAGATCTTTTTGTACACAGTTGCATATTAAGCATGTTACTGGTATACCCTATAATCCTCAAGGGCAAGGAATTGTGGAAAGGGCCCATCAGACACTGAAAAACATGATCCTGAAATTACAATCAGGGAGGGAAGTTCTTTATCCCAGAGCTGGCAATGCCAAAACATTGCTCAATCACGCTCTTTTTGTTTTAAATTTTCTCACTCTGGACACTGCGGCAAAGAGTGCCGCAGACCGCCTTTGGCATTCCACTACGGCCCAAACCTACGCTCAGGCAAAATGGAAAGATCCCCTGCTTGGCAAATGGCAGGGCCCTGATCCTGTGTTAATCTGGGGCAAAGGCCATGCTTGTATTTATGACTCAAAGTGCCAAAATGCTAGATGGTTGCCTGAAAGGCTGATTAGGTTGATGGACAAGCCAGAAACTCATAATGCCGTCCAGGGAACCACCCCCCTGAGACACCTCTGTTTTCTTTCTCTGTTTTACAGAAAATGACGATCCTCGTAATTTTCCTCCTGTTCCGTGGGAGCCACGGTGGTTTTCAATCTCCTGACCCAGTAGCGCTCAGCCGTGCCCTCTTTGGAAGCCCTTGTGACTGCGGCGGGGGCGTTCACTGTCCGTCCCGCCACCTACACGCAAGAAGTGGACTGCGGGGAAAAGACAGCCTACCTCGCCTACCGTCATTCTATCACGGGCGTCTCCAAACCCAAGTGGGAATGCGTAAGGAAGCCCCGAGTTATCCCTCCGAATGGTGGCCAGCCCGGGCCTTGCCCCAGTGATTGCAACTACCTTGAGGCCTTGCACTCCACATGCTATAGTTCTACCCAGCAGTGCAGTGGCAGCTCAGGAACAGTCTATCTTACTACAATACAGGAAAGAGAATATGGTGGCACAGGAGGGGACTGGGCGATAACTAGCCAAGGCCTACGTGGAAGTACCAATAAGTATGCTCAGGCTTCCTGTCAAAGAAAATATTGGAAAAAATGTCTGTTGGCCCCTTCATGCACCTGTCCATATCTCTGATGGGGGTGGCCCTACAGACCAAATTAGGGAACATGAGGTTAGGGAACGAATAAATGAAATAATTAAGAGTATGTACCCCCCATCCATTACCATCCACTTGCACTGCCCAAACCCCGGGGAACGGACCTAGATGTCCAAACTTCAGAAATCCTTGAAGCAACACTTAAGGCCCTTAATTACTCTAACCCTGATTTGGCTGCCGATTGCTGGCTGTGTATGGCCCTTGGCACACCTATGCCCATAGCTTTGATGTCCAAATGGCTCCACATCCACAAATTGCACACTTAGTCCACCTTTTAAGGTACAACCTGTTGGTCTCCGCCCCTCTCCTTGTATCCAAGCCCCATTTCAGAATTCCACTGCTGATATTGATGTTGGTTGCTACCTTTGCTAATTGCTCTGAAGTCAAAAACTATACCTCACAGGAACCTCTCTGTCCCCTGCCGGGACAACTTTTCGCCTGTGGGGGAAATATGGCCTACTCTGCCTCCCCCAGAATTGGACAGGACTCTGCACACAAATTTCAATCCTCCCTGATATCGACATCATTCCGGGAGATGAGCCTGTCCCACTGCCCAGTTTTGATTATATTACTGGAAGACCCAAGAGGGCTGTTGCATTTATCCCCCTCCTTGTTGGCCTTGGGATTACAGGGGCACTCGCTACCGGCTCTGCCGGCATAGGAGTTGCTGTTGATTCATATACAAAACTATCCCATCAATTTCTTAATGATGTGCAAACCCTCTCGGGGACGATAAATGACCTTCAAGACCAAATTGACTCCCTGGCGGGAGTCGTTCTTCAGAATAGGAGGGGCCTAGATTTACTCACGGCAGAACAAGGGGGAATTTGCTTAGCCCTACAAGAAAAATGTTGCTTCTATGCAAATAAATCTGGGATAGTGCGGGATAAAATCAAAAAACTGCAAGAGGATCTGATTGAAAGACGCAAAAACTTTTTGAAAATCCCCTCTGGAGTGGCTTGAATGGAGTCCTCCCATACCTCCTCCCTCTTCTTGGACCTTTAATTGGTCTCCTCCTACTTTTTCTTTTGGACCTTGGGCCTTTACCAGACTAACCTCTTTCATTAAGACGCAGATTGAGGCTTCTCTTAAAAACACCGTCAATATCCATTACCACCAACTTGCTTCGTCAGAAGATCCTACTGATACCATGGAAGAGGGTCTCCAGTTCTCGAAGCTCGTGCATCCGGAATCTCGCTGCTCGCGGTGGTGGAGAAATATTAAGGATAAAAAGTGATCTGGCAGCTGTGAGAGAGCCCATGACGGGAATATTGAGGTCCCATGTTCAAAAAGATCAGCGCGGCTGCAGTTGTTTCCCCATGACGGGAATAGAGTGAGGCCATGATGGGTTACATCGTGGGGACCCCTCGCTTAGCCTAAGACAGGGACCACTGCCACTAATGCGCTTTGAACATGGAGGCCGACCTCATAGCCTAAGACAGGCCTCTCACCTGCTATTTTAAATAAAAAGGGGGACATGTTGGAGGCCAGCACCTGGTAGTGGGCCCCTAACCCCGTGAACACCAACCCCAAGCAGCTTGTTCCGGGACAAACCGTACCATAACGTTTCGTCAACAGATGTACTAACCGCAAATGTTGCCACACCGCCCTGGAAAGTCCGGAGGCCATTTTCTTTTGCCCCTCCCCGCTTTTGCCCTATATAAGCTTGGAACGCTCAAAAATAAAATTAGACCTTGCCTACCATCCTTTTGGTCTCACTCCTCCTTTTCACCCATTCCCTTCAGCCAGGGTCCTCCTCGACCCCCCACGTATACTGGCCCTGCAGGTCGGGGCAATAATTATGGGCCAAGTTCCATCGCCATTTTTCATAGAGCTAAACTAATAGGTTAAGTGACCCACCCAAGGTCATCTAGAAAGTCAGTCCTGGAGCCAAGACCAGAGCTGAAGTGTCCTGACTCTCACTTCTTCCCCACTGGACACAGTACACAAATGTATCTTAATAATTCATGTGTTAAAAAAGCTTTTAAAAAGCAGGACCTGGTTTGGAAATCTGTTCTGGGAGGGAGGAGACTCTGAGCTTCCTGGATCTTGTATTTAGGAGGGAGGAAGGCTGATGACTTTGCACAGCCCTGCCTCACTTAAATCTAATTCGCTTGTAAGTCAAGACATCATGCTCCTGAGGTCAATGGTCCTCTTCAAGAAGGAAGGACAAGCAACAATGCTAGGTTTAAGAGTGTTGGGGAGAACATTGCCTCTCATTCTACCTTAGTGTATGTGATAGGAGAAATGACGCCTAGGGCCCTGCCTTGTAGGCTGGGCTAGCTTTTCCTAAGGCCTTACTTCATGCAGCTTAGGCTCCTTCTTGTCCTTAAGACCTGACTGACCAGGAGGACTGACTCTTGTCCCCTCATTGCCTGACTACAAAGGGCCAGAAGGAGCCCTGATTGTGGCCCGACAGCATGATCAGCACCAACAAACCGTCCTCAGCAGAATCAACGTGGTGTCTCCACTGCTACGGCTAAGTAAACCTCTTTTTGTTAACTGTGTTAAATCATCTATGAGTGTCTCATTTCATTCAACCACCAAACCTAAACTACCAGGGCACCTACCTGAGTCTGGCCTAGCCTACCCCAGTGGGGTATAGGAGAAAAGGCATGGGATTTCAGTTAGAGGATCTGGGTTTGACTCTCCCCTGTAAGTGCAGAATTATGCCCTAGGGCCCTTCCCCACTTTGGTCCTCAGTTTCTCCCTTTGTAAAATGGAAGACTGCAGTAGATGGTCTATGGTCCTTTTCAGCTCTAAATCCTACAATCTCTACTTCTTTCTGTCTGCCTGTCTTATTGGCTTGCACAACACTGGCATCAGCAACTAAGAAGTGTCTGACAACCCCAGATACCGGACAGAGTGCTGGGCCTGGAGTCAGAAGACCTGAGTTCAAATTCAGCCTTAGGTACAGACCAGCTGTGTGATCCTGGGCACGTCACTTAACTTCTACCTGCCTCAGTTTCCTCATCTGTAAAATGGGGATAATACTAACACCTACCTCCAACTGTTGTTGTGAGGATCAAATGAGATAATGTTTGTAAAGTGATTAGCACAGTGCCTGGCACATAGTAGGCACTCAATAAAGACTCGTTCCCCTTCTTTTCTAGAAGGGACTGGATTGGATGATTGATAGGATCTCTGGCCCATTCAGGTGTCTGGGATCAATCAATCGGCAAACATTTATTAAACACCTACTATGTGCCATGCACTGTGCTAAGTTCTGGGAATACAAAAAAGAGGCAAAAGACAGTCCCTGTCCTCTAACGGGAGAGACAATATACAAACACATACATACAATGCAAGCTATATACAGGATAAAAGGGGAAATAACAGAGGGAAGGTACTGGGGTTTTCAAGATAGGCAAAGAGGCCTGGATGTGAAGTAGGAAGACCTGGGTCCCAGAATCAAAAGTAAAAGAGGTATATCCTAAAGAAGACTTGTGAATAAGAGGTGGGAGGTACAGGACAGTAGCCTGAGGCTTGATGTGAAAAGCAACTTCCTATGAGTCACAGCTGTCTGCAAGTAAAACGGGCTATGTAGGAGGTAGTGAGTTCCCCGTCACAGGGTACTTCAGGCAGAGCTGGTTGGGATGTTGTAAAAGGGTTTCTTGGTTGGAAAAGGGCTGACCTGGATGGCCTCTAGGGCTCCTTCCTATGGTCTACTCCAACCTTGTACCCAGTGAGAGAACCCTGTCTATTCCACCTGTGGCCTCTGCTTGAATCCTTCTGGTGACAGGGAGCTCATTTCTTCCCACTCCATCTCAGGGCAGCTGTGACTGATCGGCACTGCTTCCTTACATTAAGCTTAAATCTGTCCCCTTGTAACCTAACCCAGAGTTGAAATTCCTTTGTCCAAGGAGCCCCTCTTGTAACTGGGCAGACAAGCAGAGGCACAGGAGCTCTGTGATTGGTGGAATAAGAGCTAGCACCAATCTTGTGCACCTGTTCCTAAAGCATCTCAGTTTCCTTTGCATCTGTGGGATGTTTGGGATTGAGGGAGCCTCCTTAGGGCAGTGTGCTGCTAATCCCCTCTCTTCCCACCCAAGCCCTTGGTGTTAACAGCATCACCATCCCAGCTGTTCCCTTCTGGGCAGAAATTCAGAAGGGGATGTGAGAAAGCGGGTGGTGGCATCCCTTCTTGGCACGGTTTTCAGCTTGCTGTGTGGCATGTGTGCACGAGACTCTTGGGTGAGCATGCTGGCTGCTGAAGAACCCTGGAGTCAAAGACCTGGTCTTAGGTTCTGGCTCTGGCACTAAGCCTGCTAGCTCTTACCCCTCCATGTGCTGTCTCATCTGACAGTCTTGATAAGACTACCCTGCTGATCCTGGAGGGTGTTGTGAGGGAAGCATTTTCTAGACTTTAAAGTCCTATAGAAACGTGGTTATTTATTATTATTATAGTATTATCCATGAATCTGGGCTTCAGTTGGCTGAAAAGAATGGAATTCAGGGGCTTCTTGCTTACCCTGTGAAGGTTTGGGCATGCCCTTGCCTTGGCACATTTAGAGGCTGTCGATGACTCTGGGTGTCATACAATTGACAAGATGACAGAGGCAGATGCCACCAGCAAGATGTCAAGAGTTGTTTCCTTCAAACTTCTTTCAAACCCCAGACCCCAAAAGAAAGGAATTATATGCCAGATATAGAGTAATTACAGCAAAATACCATAAGCATACAGAACCTCAACACAAACCTCATAGATCATGAAATGGAAATTGGAAATTCCCCTTTAAATTAATAAGATCACTCAAATAAATAGGTTCAGTTCAAATCTCGGTCATGACCGTTCCATATCTCCTGAGTGTTCTTGGCCTAGCATTCCAGGAACTAGCCATTCCTAGGTCACGTTGACATGGAGGGTTGGCTCCTCTCCTTGTGAGACGTGATGTTATCAAAAAAACAAAATACCAAGCCTCAGGCGGATGGGAGCGTGGCTAAGGTCAGATGTGTATTGGACAAACCATGAATAGCGCAAGCATCAAAAAGGGGTTCTTGGCCCCAAGCCTTCTTTGTTTAGAACAATATAAAAACACTGCGTCCTGTAAGCCCGCTGAGCCTCACCCGCGGGAAGGACGCTTCGCCCGGGAAAATCTTTACACAATTCAAGTTTGTACTGGCTGCAACGGGGCTCCCAGCCGTTGATTGATTTTGGAGGTTCCCTTGAATTGGTGATGTATTCTCTTCCATTACCGACTCTCTTGATCGGTGCTATATTATTGATTGTTCTTATTATTTATGCTTTCTATGCAAATTCAAACTATCTGTGCTTTGCTTCTTCTAAATAAATTATCTATTTCCTATTATTTTCTGGTGCATTGGAAAGTGTCATTTATAGGAGCGAATCCGAACCTCACTAAATCCTATTAATACAGATCAACATCAGCAATGCTTAATATGTACAGTCCCCTAGCTCTAACTAGTAAGCACAAGTAAGCTAGAACCGGTTAATAAGTAGGGGTCTAGATCAGGTGTGAGGAACTTGTGGCCTCAAAGCCACATGTGGCCCTCTAAGTCCTCAAGTGTGGCCCTTTGACAGAATCCAAACTTCATAGAACAAATCTGTTTGATTTCTGTCAAAGAATGGCCCTTGAGGACCTAGACGGCCATATGTGGCCTCCTTTTCTATCTCATTTTACAGATGAGGAAACTGAGGCAAACAGGGTTAAGTGACTTGCCCAGGGTCACACAGCTAATAAGGGTACAAGGCTAGATTTGAACTCAGTTCTTTCTGACTCCAGGCCCAGCTGTCTATCCAATGTGCCACCTACCCGCAAAAAATAAAGAAAGAAAGAAAGAAAGAAATAAAAAAGCAGCTGAACAGATTAGTTGACTTGCAAATACCCCAAACTACAGAAGCACAAGAAAAGAATAAGCAGGATTAACAAGAAAAGACTAAGAAAGTAAAATGAATGCCCTCAGGTTTTATAGGTTATTATTTTTTTAAAAAAGAGGAAAATTGATCTATGGGGTAAAGGAAAGTACAAAAGAGGCATCATCGAGGACAAAAGGGACCTAAGAGCTAAAGATTTAAGGAAGTGTGAGAAGCAAAAGTGGAGGAGCTGAATTAATGAATAAAATCCCTTGATCCTTTCCTTACAAGCTTATAAGCTTTTGTGGGTGGGAGTAACAGTGGGAAGCTGTACAAATGTGAAGAAGGGAGAGAAGGGTAAGAGAGAACACGTGAAGTACCCGTAGAGCCTGAGGATGAACAGGGAAGTAATAATCCTTTTAGTTTCTCAGGAAGGGGGAGAGGCTGGGGGCAGGATTAGAGAAAAGGATA